TCCCTGTTCCCTGACAACTAAATATCACCTACATTATGTCATCAAACTATTGCACACCAACAAATGTATTCAAGCAAAATAATATGTTTTATTTCCACCATGTCTTGTCCTCTCCTTGAAAAGTGAAGCAAGGGAATGAGGAGCAGCAGCCTTTGTGTGTGCATGCAGCCTCAGTTTTAGTCCAGAAGAGTAGAAGTTACTTAATATATTCATGTTTATGTGCTGTCCAGAAAAAACACTGAAATATTACTGGTAAAATAATATTAGCATTTACCTTTTTTGTAAAGTACTATTGATGTATAATATAATGTGTATTGTTTATTTAGTAAATTCTAGTAGTTTAGAAATTTTGATATTTTTTGTAAAATTTAAAAGAATAATTAAATAAATGTTATTACACCCAAAAATCCTTTTTTTTTTAGTGCACACACACGTTTGTTCTTCAACCCCGTGGGGACCGTGCATTGACTTCCATTCATTTTTTTGACTTTATAGCCTAACCTGACTATTTACCCTAAAATTAACCTCACAGGTACTTACCTAACACTAAAACTAACCTAAACCTTGGTCCTAAACATAACCCCACACCTGTAATTTGCATTTGGACCTGTGGGGACCTGGTATTRGTCCCCACAAGGCTGCTTTTTTGGGAAAATTTCCTCCACGTTATATGAAGAACTCATCCACACACACACACTCAAATGCAGATCAGGAAATCTGTGTAGAGGACGGACCAAAGAATTTAAAGTATGCTTTGTGTGTTCACACGTGTTTGTGTGTACTATGTACATTTTTCTGCATGTGTGTGAGCATGCCCACGGTGGAGCGAAAACTGTTATAAGTTCCTGCAGCCTGAGTCAGGTTCACATGAAGACAGAGTGTGGGTGTTGCCTGAAAGGCTTTAYTGTTTTATAATGTGTCTCTGTGTTTAATTACTGCAGATGAATGAAAATAAAAGATAATTTGATTAGTGTTTAACTAGCATCCCATAGCTCATGTCAGTGTGATGTTGTCACTGTTGTTTTGATAAGAATAGAAATAACTCACTTAATCAGTGGTGTCTCATCCTGGTCTAAAAAGAACCACCATCCTKCAAGTTTTAGTTTTTTCCTTATTGAACATCTCTTCAGCATGTCCTCAAGCTCTAAAGATGTTTGTCAATAAACCATTTATTCAAATCAGGTGTGTTGAGGCAGGGAGTTATCTAAAACCTTCAAGAAGTGGCCTTTGAGTACCAGCCAGGCTGACCCTATAGCCAATTTGGCACCCTGGGCAAGATTTCAGGTGGCACAAATTTGGGAAATTTTCTAAATCTCACTGCCAATTTACAAACCTTCACATACAAAATTAAATATTTTTTTCTTTGACATTTTTTTTTCTCCATAAACCAGGTTGTCCTACTGAAATAGTTAACAAT